CGGGTCTCCCGGGTCGGCGGGGGGGGGGGCGCAGCTAGGGGACGCCTGGGGTAGAGCAGCGGGGGTGCTGCTGGGTTGGTCCTGGGGGGACCTACCCGTCAGCGCCCCAGCTGTTCTGTCCCAGGCTCCAGATTCAGCCGCTGTTGAAACTGATCAGTGGCAGATTCCAGGAAGCTGGGGGCAGAACAACTCTGCCTAGGGCTTCCTGTAGTCAGTCCTTCGTCAGTTTCAGCAGCAGCGGCTGAATCTGGAGCCAGTTCCGAGTTACGTACAAATTCAACTTAAGAACAAACTTATAGTCCCTATCTTGTATGTAACCTGGGGACTGCCTGTACTTGTAAAGCCCAGACAGAATAGTAAATATGTATTCGATGCTTATAAAACTAAGGCCTCATGAAAACAATGGGTATGGTTCCCTTTTCTGGTCTGTAACAAAACTTGAATCATTCTCAGGCTTTTGTTTCATACTCTTAATTGTTGATATGCACCAGAGAAATGAGTCATACTGGTTCCTGTTTCCCTTAAAGATACTTGCCAAAAAGGGGGCTGGGAGGATATGCAACATACACTTTTTTGCTTGAACAAGTCACTTAAGTTATGACTTAAACAAGTCATATCCTGCTTAGATGTCCCTTTGCCCCCTGGCTGTGTCTAGACTGGCCAGTTTTTCTGGAAAATCAGCCGCTTTTCCGGAAAAACTTGCCAGCTGTCTACACTGGCCGCTTGAATTTCCGCAAAAGCACTGACTTCCTACTGTAAGAAATCAGTGCTTCTTGCGGAAATACTATTCTGCTCCTGTTCAGGCAAAAGTCCCTTTTGCACAAAGCTTTTGTGCAAAAGGGCTAGTGTAGACAGCTCAGATTTGTTTTCCGCAAAAAAGCCCCGATCGCGAAAATGGCGATTGGGGCTCTTTTGCGGAAAAGCGCGTCTAGATTGGCATGGACGCTTTTCTGCAAAAAGTGTTTTTGCGGAAAAGTGTCCGTGCCAATCTATACACTTTGTTCCGAAAATGCTTCTAACGGAATAATTTTCTGTTAAAAGCATTTCCTGAAAATCATGCCAATCTAGACACAGCCCCTAAGTGTAAGGAATACTATGTCGTCTTTTCTGTTTTTGCTTAGTGGCCCATAAAATCTACAATTGGGAGCATCCTCAGCCCTTACTTTAAGGAGTCAGTAAGTTGTACCTTGTGCAGGAAACATGGGGTAGACCAGTTCTGAATTGTCAGAAAAATTAAGAACCCAAGCACTACAGAGCTCTGTCTATCAAACAAGAGCAAACAAAGGGGACTTGCCAGTTTCCCCTTCACTTATAACAGGGAGAGAGAAATGAGTTCACCATCATTAGATGGACCTGAATTTATTTATTTTATATAAACCTCTATTCTTCAGGACATAAACTAACCATTTATTTGAAGGAGTTAATGAGAGAACTTTCAGTGTGATTATTACCCTTCCCCACCCCCCAAGTGATTACCCATTAGGGATTTCTTGTAACTTCCTCTAAAATATGGAGTGCTGGCCACCAACAGAAGATCATACTGGTAAGGCCACTGGTTTGATCCAGTAAAGCAATTTGTGTCCCAGCACAACACATTTTGGCTTTGTCTACACTGGCCACTTATTCCGGAAAATCAGCCGCTTTTCCGGAATAACTTGCCGGCTGTCTACACTGGCCACTTGAATTTCTGGAAAAGCACTGATGATCTACTGCGAAATCATCAGTGCTTTTCCAGAAAAACTATGCTGCTCCAGTTCGGGCAAAAGTCCTTTTCCAGAAAACTGTTCCTAAAAGGGCCAGTGTAGACAACACAGATTTCTTTTCCGCAAAAAAGCCCTGATCGCGAAAATGACGATCGGGGCTTTTTTGCGGAAAAGCGCGTCTACGTTGGCACGGACACTTTTCTGGAAACAGTGCTTTTCCGGAAAAGCATCCTGCCAATGTAGATGCACTTTTTCCGGAAATACTTATAACGGAAAACTGTTCTGTTTTAAGCATTTCTGGAAAAGGGTGCCAGTGTAGACATAGCCTTTGAGATCGTATATTAGATCTTATACACGGAGTTACCATTTTGATATTGGATTTTGAATTGCATTACTGTACCAGTGAAGAAAAAGTGGTGTAATCTGCTAGTTCACTTGCTGCCTTAGGACTCCTGCAGCACCATCAGTGGTCATGAAGGCCTGGTAAATCCCACCATAGTCACTTACACATGGCATCTTGGATAGACTCATGATAAGAAATCTCTTATGGTAATTTGAGATTTATTTTTTAATAGGAAAATTGCTTTTAAATATTTTACCTTTTCAAAATGAGGATTTAATTGCTGAGTTTTTTTTGGGTGGATGGGTATAGAAGGAGCAAATCCCAATGGTGGCTGGATTCTTTTGCAGTGCCTGCAGGATCAATCACTGCACATGTTGGCATGATGTTTTTGAAAGGGTAGTCTATGCGTGACTATCCACTTCCAGCTCAAGTCCCAAACATACATGTTTGTTACTTGACAGGAAATTGAGTTTCTGTACACATGCAAGAGCATGGAGTTACTCTGCTTCCTCTAAGAGGCATATTACAAATTGACATTAAATTAAGAAAGGTGAGAGGTTCATTCTCTAATTTCTTGTCCTAACTTACATGGCAGGAGTCCTCTGGGGCATAAAACACACAGGCTATGCCTACACTACATGCTTCTTTGTGCAAAAACTTCTTGCACAAGAGCATGTCCACACCTCAAAGCACATCGCAAAAGCAATGTGCTTTTGCTCAAGAAAGCGTCCACACTGCATGAACGCTCTTGCGCAAGAAAGCTCTGATGGCCATTCACAGAATGGCCATCAGAGCACCTGTGCTTTTTCCCATAGGGGTTTCCTGCGCAATAGCTGTAGTGCAAAAGGGAGTTATGCCTCGTAAAAGGAGGTTTACCTACACTGGTAAAAGCCCTCTCTTCTGCCGTTTAACTGTTGATTTATTTGCGCAAAAGCGCATTTGAGGTGTGGACACACCACGGATGTTTGTGTTTTTGCACAAAAACCTTGCAGTGTAGATGTAGCGACATGGAATGGGCAATGTGCATTAAGAGCTTTTCTTCAGCTTCTGTTGTACAAATGAAGAGATGATCTTGTTCTCAATTTTCTGGTGAGGGATTCAGCCAGGATGGCTACTTCACTATGGTATTGGCTAGGACCTCCATCTTGCCCCTTGGCTGCTGTAATTTAAAGTTTGAGAGCAGGTTTGGAAGCAGATGCAGTCAATTGTAGCTTTATTCACCAGTCCACTACTCCCCACTCCTTCATCCTCCTGTTCTCATGTCATTGTGAGGAAACAAGTGATTGAGGAAGCCTAGTTGGACAACAGTCATACAATTTCAGGTGCATTAGTTGCTTTGACAAGGATGTCTAGTAACTAGTCCTTAACAAACAAGTGTCTTGTTACCTCTAGTTATGTAATATTAAAATAACTTTCAGGGTTGTTTTTTTTAAGTTCTGTATCCTATTGATTGGAAAGAAAAGTGTTATTGGTGTTGGGGCATATTAAATAAGATTCTTCCTACTGAGAGAGATTTGTAAAAAATCATTTATTAGGTATGAAGACATGCTACATTTTAAATTAAAATATTTATGCAAAAACAATTTTAAAATTAATGCATTTAAAATCAATGTAGAATTTTTCTGCCTACACTTTGATTTTTCAGGGATGTTTTGCCTGTGATTTGGTGTCCCAGTAAATATAACACTTCTGTCATGTGCAACATCCATATCACTTCTAAAAATATTTTGTTTTCTAGATTTCACCATCCAATCCTCAGTCCTCTTGAAAGCAGCTTTCAGCTGGAAGTGGATGTGCTTGCACATCTTTTAAAGGCTCAGGCTCAGATCTCAGAGTGGAAGTTCCTCCCATCTCTAGTCAACTTGCACAGTGCTCACGCAAAGCTGCAGACGTGGGGCCAAATATTTGAGAGACAGCGAGAGACTAAGAAACATCTGTTTGGAGGGCAGTCTCAGAAGGCTGTACAACCGCCGCACCTTTTCCTCTGGTTGATGAAACTCAAAAACATTCTCCTTGCCAAGTTTAGCTTTTACTTTCACGAGGCCCTTAGTCGCCAAACAGCTGCATCCGAAATGAAAACACTGACTGCTAAAACTAACCCTGATTATTTTGGGAAAATTTCCAGTTTCATCAGGAAATATGATGCTGTTAATGTTTCTCTTATCTTTGACAACCGTGGGTCTGAGAGCTTCCAGGGACATGGCTACCATCATCCCCACTCTTACAGGGAAGCCCCTAAGGGGGTGGATCAGTACCCAGCTGTGGTCTCACTGCCCAGTGACAGGCCTGTAATGCACTGGCCCAATGTAATCATGATTATGACTGACCGAACCTCTGACCTCAACAGTTTGGATAAGGTTGTTCATTTCTATGATGACAAAGTCCAAAGCACATACTTTCTTACACGTCCTGAACCTCATTTTACCATTGTAGTTATTTTTGAGGCTAAGAAATCAGAGAGGGACTCACATTTCATTTCTTTTCTCAATGAAATTTCACAGTCCCTCAAGAACTCCAAAGCTTTTGCAAGCCTAAAGCCTGGAGCCAAAGGATAAAATAAATATTGAGTTACAGATTGCCAAGGCACTACAGTAGACTGGAAAAAACAAATACTATAGCTGTCAAGGAATTGTATTCATTCATGTTTTGCAGAGTTTAATTAAAAGAACTATTTCAATATTTGTTGTGAATACATTTTAGCTAGTGAAAATACTTGAATAAAAATATAGAAAGAATTTTCTAGGCTCTGCACATTGGGATGACTTAGCTATGGTGCACAAAAATGGCTGAGGTATTTTTTTTTGCATGGTGTTCAGTTCACAGTATTAATTAATATTTTTCAGTCCATGACACTTTGTCCTTAACTAATTGGAATGTATGCACTTTATAGAATGCTGGTCACTGACTAAACTTCTACAGAATTAATTGAAAAGTTGGTTAGAATGATATCTCTTCAGAGCACACTGCCATTACACTGTCAGGAACTATAGTGGAATCTTGTTTCTTAACAGTTATACTCAATGGGAATTAATGGAAATTTGCAGATCCACAAATAACACACTGCAATAAAGTCAAAGCATCATAACATTTACTTTGGTAACTATGGTAATATATCACTGTACAATAACTTTAAAAATAAGTCTTAGCAATAAGACTTTTCTTTTTAAAATTCCTACTACCGTAGGGGGAGATTGGCAATTCATAATATTGGAAGATTTACCTGGTGTTGCTTGGGTCCTTGTGGGTGCTCAGGCTAGGGGTGGCGGGGTTGCAGGGGTTTGGGAGGAATAGGGAGGTTCAGGGGGGTGCTGGAGTTAGAGCGGGGGTTTGGTGCTCAAGGCATCTGGAAGGCCAGCCAGGGCTGTGCTGCCCAGCAGGTGGCTGATGTTCAGGCAGGGAGGGGGACAGCAGTGAGGGCTTGCCAGAGGGGGCTACCGGCTGCTGGGGCTAAGGAAAGAATGGTTTGAGCTCTGGCTTTAGGGCTGGGGGACCCTTTACCTGTGGTCAGCAACATGTAGAGGTCTGTCCTTAGCCAGCCACTGTTACAGGTGCAGCTGTCCCCCTGTGGTCACTCTGCAATATAACTGTTCCCTGCACCTGCTGCCTTCCTGTGGTCATTCTGGAGCATAACTTTCTCTGCTATCAGACTTCTACTTTTTCTCTGTTATAGAAAAAAAATCTGATTTCAAGTACTTTCTATTGTCCTGGCACAACCAAATTTGGATCTTTAAGTACAAGAGGAAGCGGCATACCAAGTTTGGTGGTCCTAGCTCTTATGGTTGAGGAGGAGTTCTTGAAAAGACAGACTCAGATGCACAAAGTTTCTAAAATACGTAGTAAGAAGATAAAATGTGCAGGATAGCCATAATTCTACAGCATCTAGAAGGAAAAAAGTCAAAGCTGCAGCATATGCCATGGATTGCAATGTTTACTAGTGTATTGTAAGTTGTAATCATGTAATGTCAAAACTACAGGCTGCTTAGACCTTAAATTTCTGCTTCTGGAATGAAATTGAAGATAATAGCTTCAGTTTGTGCTACTAGTAGGTAGTTTGAAACAATCTTGTGAAAAAAATAAAGCCCTTACATTTCCTTTATCCATTTTCCTTACTGCCAATGCAGTAGAAAAATGTCCCTTTTAAACAAACAGCAAAAACCCTAAACAAAACTGTCATTTATTTACAATATTATGGTTAAAGCTGCATTATGGTTGGGTTTCAGAGCTATTTTTTAAAATACAGCTTCAGTTTTGTTTTCTGTTCAGGTATAATTACTAATATTTTCGAATAGCTTTCCCATTAAAAGCCATAAGAACGGCCGTCCTGGGTCAGACCAAAGGTCCATCTAGCCCAGTAGCCTGTCTGCGGACAGTGGCCAGCACCAGGTGCCCCAGAGAGGGTGGACCGAAGACAGTGATCAAGCGATTTGTCTCCTGCCATCCCTCTCCAGCCTCTGACAAACAGAGGCCAGGGACACCATTTCTATCCCCTGGCTAATAGCCTTTTATGGACCTAACCTCCATGAAATTATCTAGTTTCTCTTTAAACCCTGTTATAGTCCTAGCCTTCACAGCCTCCTCTGGCAAGGAGTTCCACAGGTTGACTACACGCTGTGTGAAGAAGAACTTTCTTTTATTAGTTTTAAACCTGCTACCCATTAATTTCATTTGATGTCCCCTACTTCTCCTATTATGGGAACTAATAAATAAAGAAAAGATATCCGCCTTCTCTGCACCACTCATGATTTTATATACCTCTATCATATCTCCCCTCAGTCTCCTCTTTTCTAAACTGAAAAGTCCCAGTCGCTTTAACCTCTCCTCATATGGGACCCATTCCAAATCCCTAATCATTTTAGTTGCCCTTTTCTGAACCCTTTCCGAGGCCAAAATATCTTTTTTGAGGTGAGGAGACCACATCTGTACACAGTATTCAAGATATGGGCGAACCATAGTTTTATACAGTAAAATATTCTGTCTTATTTTCTATCCCTTTCTTAATAATTCCTAGCATCCTATTTGCCTTTTTGACCGCTGCTGCACACTGTGTGGAAGTTTTCAGAGAACTATCCACGATAACTCCAAGATCTTTTTCCTGATTTGTCGTAGCCAAATTAGCCCCCATCATACTGTACGTATAGTTGGGGTTATTTTTCCCCGATGTGCATTACTTTACACTTATCCACATTAAATTTCATTAGCCATTTTGTTGCCCAATCATTCAGTTTGGTGAGATCTTCTTGGAGTACCTCACAGTCTGCTTCTGTCTTGACTACAGTGAACCCTCGTTTATCGCGGTAGATAGGTTCCAAACCCGACCGCGATAGCTGAAAATCCGCGAAGTAGGGACACCATATTTACGTATTTATTTAACATGTATATTCAGACTTTTAAAACCCTCCCTTTACGTAGTACTGTTAACAAACCACCCTTTAATGTACAGAAAAAAGTCCGCGAAG